GCGCGGTGGTTCACGCCTGTAATGCCAGCACTTTGGGAGGCTGAGGCTGGCGGATCACGAGGTCAAGAGCTCGAGACCATCCTGGCCAACATGGTGAAACCCCGTCTCTACTAAAAAAATACAAAAATTAGCTAGGCGTGGTGCTGAGCGCCTGTAGTCCCAGCTACTTGGGAGGCTGAGGCAGGAGAATTACTTGAACACCAGAGGCGGAGGTTGCAGTGAGGTGAGATCGCGCCAGTGCACTCCAGCCTGGTGCCCTGGCGACAAAGCAAGAGTCTGTCTCAAAAAAAAAAAAAAAAAAAGGAAGGAACCAAGTGTCCATTGGCAGATGAACGGATAATGTGGTATATATACATGCAATGGAATGCTATCAGCTTTAAAAGGAGGGAAATTTTGACACATGCTGCAATATGGATGAATCTTGAAGACATTAAGTAAAATAAGACAGTTAAAAAATATTGCATGATTCATCTTATATGAGGTACCTAGGGAAGGCAAATTCATAGAGACGGAAAGTAGAATGGTGGTTGCCAGGGGCTGTGGGCAGAGGAGAATGGAGAGTTAGTGTTGAATGGGTTTAGAGTTTCAGCTGGGAAACATGAAAAAGGACTGGAGATGGATGCACAACGATGTTAATGTATTTAATGCTACAGAACTACACAGTTAAAAAGTGGTAACTTTTGTTGGGCATATTTTACCACAGTTTAAAACCCTAATTGTGTCACTAGATACACATCAGACAATGAACAGTGGAGCGCCCACAAGAGTATTGCACAAACGGAAGCAGAAGACTTCAGAACAGATTATTTTCCTAAGAGTTGTTCAGCCAAACATATTTTTAGGTATAGCCAATAATCGCAGATTTAGGAGTAAAAGAACTAATTACGCCCAACGTGGGGCTCGAACCCACGACCCTGAGATTAAGAGTCTCATGCTCTACCGACTGAGCTAGCCGGGCGCTTCGAGTTAAACTTTCAACAATTTTTTATTCTACATTAGATTTGGCCTGTATTCAACTATGGGTTTTAATTTGGATTTATTTGGAGTGTGATAAAACTACGAAAGTGTCTCGACTCCTGGGAAATTCAAACTCCGTCATCCGTTCAAACCTGACCGTCCCTCCCACTTATGTCTGTTTTCTGCTTCTTCTACCCTACCAGCGACCAAACCATTTTCTACCCGAGATGAAGCTCACGGCACAGAGATGAAAAAACAAGTGCATCCTGACGCCACTGGAGCTCTCACCGTGTGGATTTTTAAACAGGAGGGAAAGACAATGAATGGGGCCCAGAGGAGGGCAGGCACCGCCGCGGTCTTTCTCCACCACCGGACTCCAACCTGTGGGGCTTTTCCTGACGCTCTGCAAAGGTGCTAGATTTCAAAACTTGAAAGAAAAATGGAAAATAGATATTGAAGGTGCAAAACTTTGCTGGAGATGCCGGGGATCGAACCCGGGGCCTCATACATGCAAAGCATGCGCTCTACCACTGAGCTACATCCCCACCTCTTTTTCGTATTTCTCCTGGATCACTCTTATTTGTTGCTTAGCTCAAGGCACCGGGAGTGGATGGCAACCGTTGTGAGCTGGATCTCAGCTGCTGCAAAAACCTGTTCCAGGATCCTCCGCTGACTCCACACCAGCGGATCTTGACCAAGGGAGTCCAAGAGGGAGGAATTAGGCCCGGCTAAGCACCTGGGAGCAGCGGTGGAAAAAGGAGAGAAAATCAAGCAGGATGTCAAAAATGAACTGTGGCCTGAACAAGAGAAGAGATCGAGGCAGTAAAATACAGAATATTTGATTAACGTAATCCAGAATTGTGAAGTTTATTGCTCGGGATTAAGAAAGAACTGGGACACAGGCGATGGGCCTACTTTTCACCGTGAACTGCGGCTTATCTTTGGAATTTTGAACCACGTTTAATTCAAGAAAACTTTACTGAGCTTGCCAAGAACTGCTCTAAAAACAGAATTCAGCGGTGAACAAACCTGGTACAGTCCACCTTAAAGCCGACATTCCAGAGGAGACAGAGTGCAGGCACAGAGCCAGCCCTGAGTGGGGAGCGCGCTAAGAGGCGACTTTGTACAGTGTGTGCGTTCGGGGCGGGCTTCGTGGGCACAGAGGTTTGAAACAAGACCTGAATGAGGTGGGAGGGAGAATGAGGTGCAAGTGGTGGGAGAAAAGAGGTCCATGCAAGGGGAACAGCCAGCGCAGAGGCCACGCGGTTCAGGAACAGCAGGAAAGAAGGTCGGGGACACAGGGTCCTGGAAGGCGCTGAGAAGCGACCTCGGGAAGGAGGTAGCAACCGGGAGCAGATGAGATGAGGCGAGGCCTTTGGGTTAGAATCGCGGAAGTTCCCGGTGACATTGACAAGGGCGGTTTCTGAGGAGTGTGCAGGGGGAAAGCCTGACTCGAGTGGCCTCCAGAGTGAACCAGGAGAGAGGGCGTGGAAGCGGATAACACCCGCAGCTCTGCAGTGGGGCTGTGGAGACAGCTGGGGCACAGTGAGCACTGTTGTTTTTTTCTTTGGGGTGGGGGGAATAATACTGAATAAAATTATAAACGTATTATTTGTTCAAATATTAAGAAGGGGGAGGACAGTCGCAGAAAAGGTAATGGAGTGGATACAAGGCCGCGCTTGAGGGTGGGGAGACAGGGCGAGATTCCAGACTCTAAATTTAGCTCAGCACAGGCCCGGGGCGAGCCTGCACTAGGGTAACCTGACACCTTGGACAGGGCACCAGGCCCTTGCCACGGCGATGCTGGGTCGGCCTTGGTCAGGAACCGAGAGTGGCGCCCGGCAGGGTTTGTGCGCCCACCTGTCGCGGTCTGTTTCCCGCGGCTGACTGGGTCAGGCTGGGGCGGCCTAGAGAGGCTGAGGGATGGGGTCCACGGGAAGAGGCGGGGGCCGATGGAGCGCGCAGATGGGGGCTCAGGGCGCTGTCCAGCACTTAAACGGCCCTGTGCCTCCCCGCCCGCAGTCAACTTGTGCCTTGCCTCCCAGCTCTCCCGCCCGGTGCGCCCTGGGCTCAAGTCTCTGACTGTCCAGTGGCAGCCCCGCCCTTCCTCTCCCAGTGGGCACTCGGCGGCCAGCCCGGACGTCGCGCTCCGACCCGCGTCCTGTGAGGTCCAGTGGCCGCCAGGGCGCGACCACACTTAGGTGAGTGGAGAGCGCACATGGCAGCAGTGGGGCCGCGGACCGGCCCCGGCACCGGGGCCGAGGCGCTAGCGCTGGCGGCAGAGCTACAGGGCGAGGCGACGTGCTCTATTTGCCTAGAGCTCTTTCGCGAGCCGGTGTCAGTTGAGTGCGGCCACAGCTTCTGCCGCGCCTGCATAGGGCGCTGCTGGGAGCGCCCGGGCGCTGGGGCTCTAGGGGCCGCGACCCGCGGGCAGCCATTCCCACTGCCCTGCCCGCAATGCCGCGAGCCCGCGCGCCCCAGTCAGCTGCGGCCCAACCGGCAGCTGGCCGCAGTGGCTACACTGCTGCGGCGCTTTAGCCTGCCCGCGGCCGCCCCGGGGGAGCACGGGTCCCAGACGGCAGCGGCTGCCCGGTGCGGGCAGCATGGCGAACCGCTCAAGCTCTACTGCCAGGACGACGGACGCGCCATCTGCGTGGTGTGCGACCGCGCCCGCGAGCACCGCGAACACGCCGTGCTACCGCTGGACGAGGCGGTGCAGGAGGCCAAGGTGAGCGCAGGCACCCCTCTCCCCTTCGGTCCCCGGCTCCCTTGCCCGCGGTGCAGAGAACAGACTGGTAGTCAGGAGGCCTGGGTGAGCCCTTCCCTTCTTTCGCCTATTCCAAGAAGACCCGGACTGGTTCCTGTGTTGAGCGCTGTTCTCTGTCACCCCTAACATCACCAATACCCCACTCCACCACCACTGCGTTTCCCTCTGAGCCAGACACTGGGCCACCTGCGCGATGTGCCCCACGGACTTGGCGATGTTCTTCCTGTCTGATTGGAGCCTCTAGCCTCGTCTGCATCTCCGCAGCTCTCAGCCCGCGGGAAGTCTCCGGCACAGCCACGCAGCCGCTGCCCCGAATCTTATCTTCTTCCCTGAAGCGGTCTCTGCTCAAAGTTCTCACCTCATGGAACTGAGTTGGAGGACCTCTTCAAGAGGTCCAAGGATGGGGCTCCTGGGTTAAGCAGCGCACCTACAGCCGTCTGACTGTGCCAAGTCTGTCGATTCTGGGCCCCCTCCCTCTTCCATTTTCTCGCCGAGCCCCTGCGAGGATGTACGAAGGGGTGGGGAGGGCGGGGAGGCTCGGGTGGCAGTTTCCAGTCCCTCCTTGCTCGCCTATCCTGCTCCAACTTTCCTACCCAGAGGGCTTCCTGATCTAGGGGTGGATAGCAGAGGAGACGACTAGAGGTAGGGCTGCTGGAGGATTGTGTTTCAGTCTGGCTACTCCAGCAGATGCTCTTGGGGAAGCAAGACCCCGAGGCCTTCAGAGTCACCTCGAAGTGTGGCCTGCAGCCTGTAGAGATGACTTCTACCCGGCCTCTCCCTCAGTGAGCAGGCCTTCCCTTTCTCCTGGCTGGCTCCAGGAAGGCACAGGTGGGGGTTTCCAGAATCCCCCCACTTCCCCACACCTTATATTGTTTCCCTTCACTTGCAGGAGCTCTTGGAGTCCAGGCTGAGGGTCTTGAAGAAGGAACTGGAGGACTATGAGGTGTTCCGGTCCACAGAAGAGAAGGAGAGCAAGGAGCTCCTGGTGAGCCAGGCACCCTGTGGGGGACAACAGAGGCCCACTCAGCATTAGGGCTTGGTGTGCAGTGTTAAAAGTATGTGCTATGGAACCACAGGGTGGATTTCACAAAGATAATAGGGTGTATATTATATAGTGTGACCGTGTAATTATTGTACAAACCAGAGCTTTTGAGAGTTAAAGAGAGTGCTAAAATAATTATTGCAAAACTACTGGCTTAAACTGGAACTGTCCCAGTGAATCAGAATGTACAGTCACTGTGATATTACATAACATGCCAGTTAGAGCCTGTGGAAGCATCTTGTAGTAGAACACATTAATATTTCTGCAGAGAAACATGAATATTCAGTAAGTGGGAATATTAATACAATAAAGAGCCTCAGATCTGTTCATGGCATGTTTTGTCAACAAAACAGTAGTGAAAAAAAATTTCATTTTCAGAGATTTTGATTTGAAATTGAGGCTAAGGGAGAAACGGCTAGAGGGTGTCAGAGGTGCTCCCTGGCTCTGGTAGAAAGAGGAAGTTTGGGGCCTTGGGTTCACAGTAGCCCCTGCTGCACAGCCCAGGGTCTGGGTACTAGCACTCTTCCACCCAAAGTTGGAAGATATTTTATCTTTCTTAGAATAGAACAGGAAAGTGAAATGAGGGCTCATTTTGGTGAAGATAGGCAAACATGAATCACCAATGGTCATTTTCTACCTTGCAAATTCAGTTCCCAGTTCAGTAAATAGATGTCCAAAGAATGAAAGGATCTACTAGGGCCTGTCAAGGCAGGGAATTGGAAGAAGATGAACTAGAGGACCCTCCTATCCTCAATGTCAGGAGGGGTAGGGGAGACGCCTGGAGTTCAAACACCCTAAGGTCGGTTCCAGACCCTCAACTATATCTGTTATGTCTGCATCCAGTGTTCATCCCAGACCTTCCCATTCGATCACTTACTTCCCTCCATGAGCTCACCCTCCAGACCTTCATCACTCCTCTGCTGGAGATACAGCCCCAACACAGCTCTTCTGTCGTTGGTTGACATCCATGAACCAGAGAGTCTTCCCAGGCATTGGTGGCAGCGGAGGTCTCTGATCCAACTCCCCAGGACTTGCTTCGCACCTTCCAACTCTGTCCTCTCCTAACACCCGCCCATCCACCCCCACATTCATTTTTATTGTTTCGTTTTGCTTTGCTTTTAGAAGGGTCTCACTTTATCACTATGGCTAAAGTAGTTCAAGTGATCCCCCCACTTCAGCCTCCTGAGTAGCTGGGACTATAGGTGTGCACCACTACACCCGGCTAATTTTTAATTTAGTTTTTGTAAAGTTGTAGTAGGGTGGGGTCTCCTATGTTGCCCAGGCTGGTCTGGAACTTGTGGACTCAAGCAATCCCCCTCCTCAGACTTCACCCCTCTCAGTCTCCCAAAGTGCTGAGATTACAGGTCTCCCAAAGTGCTGAGATTACAGGAGACTACATAAAGAATGAGCTCCATCCATTCTTCACAGTGATAAAATACTTCTATGATTTACAATACTTGTGTTATCTACAATACCCTGCTTAATGAAACATCAGAGGCAGAGTCCAACTATCACTGCAACATAAAAGGGAGAGGGAATATTCTTATTTGAAAATACTCCTACCCCAGGGGACATCTGGCAAGTCTGGAGATATTATATTTTTGGTTGTCAACAATGGGATAGGGACAATATTGGCATTTGGTGGTAGAGGCCAGAAGGGCTGCTAAACATCCTGCAAGGCACAGGACAGCCCCCCACGACCAAGAAGTATCTGGCCCAAAATGTCAACTGTGTTAAGGTTGGGAAACCCTGGTTTAGACTAGTATTTTGGCAAATACTGTTTCACTTGTGTTATTTCCTTGCAAGGCAATATGATGTAGCTGGCAGAAGCTCAGCTCTGGGGTCTGGCTCCCTGGCCTAGAAGCCTGGCTTAACACTTTCTGGTGATGTGTCTGTCTTTGTCTCCTCACCTGTAAGACTTGAGGGGAAGTGTGCCCACCTCACTGGGCTACTGTCAGGGTTGAGGGAGTTAATATCTATAAGGCGCTAAGGGCTACTGCAGCCTGCCTGGAAGCTGAAGGTAAGGTGAGGGTACTGCGGGACACCTGAACCCAGGTCTCCCAACTTCCTAGAATTCCCTTCCTCTGTCCAGGAGTTTTCAAGGAAGAGGAACTTCCTGGTGGGACATACTGAGTACGACAAATGTGTGCACATAAAAAAAATCAAGAGATCAGGGAATGAGTCTGCATCTGAAAACCAAGGAGTAAAAAGTCCTGTGTATGCCCTTAATGGAAAGAATAGAATATCCAGCTTGCATGTAGCATATTCTCACTTAGTTCCTTGTGGGTATGCTGCTACCTCTGTTCACTGGCATTGGATTTTTCTTCCTCCTTTCTACTTTCCTACCTCTCCTAGGGTTTGTATTTTGAGCATTTGTTACCATTATAATTACTAAACAGGAAAGATCGCCTTTAAAAAGAAGTAAAGTGAAGAGTGAAAGTTTGAGGGTGATGAAGTAAATGTGCTTGAGGAAGAAAAAGCAATCTCCGTTTAATCCTATGGTTGCCCCAGGAGGCACTAATTTATCCCTTCTGCTTTTTTTTTTTTTTTTTTTTTTTTTTGAGATGGAGTCTTGCACCGCCTCCTGGGTTGGAGTTCAATGGCATGATCTCGGATTATTGAGACCTCCGCCTCCTGCCTCAGTCTCTTGAGTAGCTGGGATTACAGGCATACGCCACCAGGCCCAGCTAATTTTGTATGTTTAGTAGAGACGGGGTTTCACCATGTTGGTCAGGTTGGTCTTGAACTCCCGATCCTCAGGTGATCCTCCAGCCTTGGACTCTCAAAGTGCTGGGATTACCAGTGTAAGCCATCACACCTGGCCTCCCTTCTACTTTTCAAGTAAGGAACCTACAGGTTGGCGTACTTCTAGGTAGAGTATGATGCTACCTTGGTTTAGGTGGTGGAGCCCAGATCCACAGACATGTGCAGGCACATCTATGGCAGGGGAGAGAAAAGTATGTGTCAAGACTATCGCTTGTTTGGAGCTGGGACACTGAAAATAAAGCATGCACTATGTGCATAGATGGTGTATCTCTGATCCTCCAGCAGTGACAGGGATGAAACTTTGCCCCGTGATATGACTCAGGTCCCTGGCCAAATGCTATATCTCCATGCCCAAGTCCCCTACCTCTCCAATTTCTCTTCCTGAGACAGAAGCAGATGGCAGCGGAGCAGGAGAAGGTGGGGGCAGAGTTCCAGGCACTGAGGGCCTTCCTAGTAGAGCAGGAGGGCCGGCTGCTGGGTCGCCTGGAGGAACTGTCCCGGGAAGTGACACAGAAGCAGAATGAGAACCTGGCCCAGCTCGGGAGTGAGATCACCCAGCTGTCCAAGCTCAGCAGCCAGATCCAGGAGACAGCTCAAAAGCCTGATCTTAACTTTCTCGAGGTGAGTCTTGCTAAGCAAGGAGCTTGAGTCATTTATCCTAAGGTATCAGGACCCACAGCTAGAGAACAGTGTCAGTTCTGGGGGATTAGGAGAATCATATGATCTGGAGCTGAAGGGGACTGGCAAGAAGTCCCCCAATTTTCCTGGGTTTAGAGATCTAGAGGGATGTGATAAAACTTTCTTGACCATGAGCCACAATAATATATATCATATTTCAGAATCATATGCTTGAGACCAAAGTCTTAGAAAATACTACTCACCTTTGCTAGAGGTGTACACTTTGATGTTTTCTATTGTATTTCACTAAAAAACAAAATAGTTATAAACCACAAACTTAGACAAACTTCACAAACCACAGATGGGTTAAGAACAGTCATTACTGGGCTGAGTGAGCAATAGGTACATAAGGACTGTGACCTCCCTCAGGTGGTTTTCAGGACATAGGCAGCACTGGGTCCATGGGATAGCTCCAGTGATGATTCTGTAATAAAGAAAGCAGCTGGGCATAGTGGCTTATCCCTGTAATCCCGGCACTTTGTGAGGCTGAGGCAGGAGGATTGTTTGAGGCCATGAGTTTGAGACCAACCTGGGCAACATATCAAGACCCTGTCTCTACAGCAAATTAAAAAATTAGGAGCCTGTAGTCCCAGTTACATGAGAGGTTGAGGCAGGAAGATTGGTTGAACCCAGGATTTTGAGGCTGCAGTGAGCCATGATCATGCCACTGCACTCCAGCCTGGACGATAGAGTGAGATCCTATCTCTAAAAAACAAAAAACCGGCCGGGTGCAGTGGCTCACACCTGTAATCCCAGCACTTTGGGAGGCCAAGATGGGCAGATCACAAGGTCATGAGATCAGGACCATCCTGGCCAACATGGTGAAACCCCGTTTCTACTAAAAATACAAAAATTAGCTGGGCATGGTGGCTCATGCCTGTAATCTCAGCTACTTGGGAGGCTGAGGCAGGACAATCACTTGAACCTGGGAGGTAGAGGTTGCAGTGAGCTAAAATCGCACCATTGCACTCCAGCCTGGGTGACAGAGGGAGACTCTGCCTCAAAAAAAAAAAAAAAAAAAAAAAAGCATGTGAAGAGCTGTGGAAAGGGGTTCACTGTGTGGATGAGACACCCTGCAGTCAGTAGCCACTGGAAGCTGCTGTCGCCTGGAGTCTATGCAGCCAGTGAGGTGTGGCACACCTACTTATTGCTTACATCTTGGAGGCACAGCAAGGGACAAGCTTTGTTTCTCAAAGACGAATGGAGTTTACCTGATGCTGATTTGGTTTCCTCCATCTTTCCTTCCAGGAATTCAAAAGCACGCTGAGCAGGTGAGTTACCTCACAGCTCCTGGGGCCTCTCTAAGTTACGTCTTCCGTTTTCACTGAGCCTTCTCTTTTTTCCCCACCCCCGGAGTTCTCACCTCCTGGTCCCCCTACTTGCTTGCCCAGGGACCTTCTGAGACAAATGTTTGCCTGCCTGGCCATGGGTTTTTCTGAATGAGGTCTGGCTCTCCCTTTCCTACCTCTTTCTGTCAAGAAGACCTTGCCATCCTAATTGTCATAGCCTGTGGGAGGAAAGCGGTGCACATAGGCCCTTCTCAGAGCCCCTGTCCTGCAGGTGCAGCAATGTGCCTGGCCCCAAGCCAACCACAGTCTCTTCTGAGATGAAGAATAAAGTCTGGAATGTTTCCCTCAAGACCTTTGTCTTAAAAGGGCTGCTGAAGAAGTTCAAAGGTAGGGGCCTGGGTACTGAGTGGGGCCACATAGTGTGGTAGAGGCTCAGGGGTCCCTGGGTGTGCTTTCTAGAAGCTGTGTGTTGAAACAGAAGATGGCTGTGCCATGGCTAGATTGGTGTAGGGGCCGTGGTGGCAAATCTAGTCAGGCCCCCTCCCCAGGCCACGCAGCTTCCCATGGAGACAGATGGGTAGAGGGGTGCCGCTAGGGGTACTGGGGGTAGGAAGACGGCTGTGTAGGGAGAGCTCAGCTCAGAGCCACTTAGGTAGAGCTAGAATGCTTGGGCATTGGCCCCCTGCCCCCCACCCCACATGCTTGGCCCTGTGCCTGCACATTCATTCTTGGCCTTAGGAATCTCAGGAATGAGTGAGTCAGTTGGGCTATAAAGAGCTGGTGACCTTGCCATAGAATCTCCCATGTCGCTCATGCACACCCTGTTTTGTTTCTCCTCTTCAGAGGACCTTCGGGGAGAGCTGGAGAAAGAGGAGAAAGGTAGGGATGGTGCTGTGATGGCAAGTATGGACTGTCTGCCACAGAGAGAACCTACTCCCTGCTGGTGACCATCTCAGGGTTTTGCATATGGTCGGTTCCTTCCACCAACCCACCTCAGCAACCCTGTCCCTCTGTCCCCTACCCCTCCCTGTCCTTGCCTGGGAACTCTGACACAGATGGCAGTGGGGCCTGTTGGCCCAAATGCTGCAGGCTGGTTAGGAGCAGGAATGCTCTATTCCTTGAGATATTCAGACTGGGGAAGGCAGCTCGGCCACCTGGTCAAGCCGCTCCCCAGTCCCCACTCCAAGAGAGACGGAAACCTCTCCTAGAGATGGGGTGTATACAGGGAACCAGGAAAGTAAGGGGAGGCTGAAGGCTGGAAGGAATATGGTTCTTACTCTTGCAGAGCTCCAGAGTGTTTGGGATCCAACATTCAGGGGAAGGGAGTGGAGGGCACATATTCCTGATGCTGATGTCTGAGCTAAGTCAGAGTGTGTCTGGGTGACACCTAAAGCACCTGAGTGAGACCAGGCCCTCCTCTGCTCAGAGCCCTGCCACAGCCCCTCTAACTTAGTACAGGTCAAAGCCCTCATGGTGGCCTCCAGGCCCCAAGGGATCGGGCCTCACTGCACACCCCTGCTACTCCATGCAGCTACATATCCTGCTTGCTGCTCCTTAAGTGTACCAAGCACACACCCATCTCAGGGCCTTTGCACTGCAAGGCTCCCCTGCCCCAGCCCCCTACCTGGAACATGCTTTCCCCAGCCAGTCACATGGCTCGCTTCCTCACCTTTTTTGTTTTTGTTTTTGAGATGGAGTCTCACTCTGTTGCCAGACTAGAGTGCAGTGGCACAATCTCGGCTCACTGCAACCTCTGACTCCCTGGTTCAAGCGATTCTCCTGCCTCAGCCTCCCGAGTAGCTGGGATTACAGGCATATGCCACCATGCCCAGCTAATTTTTGTATTTTTAGTAGAGATGGGGTTTCACCATGTTGGCCAGGATGGTTTTGATCTCCTGACCTTGTGATCCGCTCGCCTAGGTCTCCCAAAGTGCTGAGATGACAGGCATGAGCCACTGCGTTCGGCCTTCCTCACCTTCTTTATATGTGTCTGCTCGATGCACCTTTTCAGTGAGGGTCTTCCCTGGCCACTCCGGTTGAAGCTACAGCCTGTTCTTTTCATCCCTCTTATCTGCTATGTTTATCATCTATCCTCAATCCTTTTCCTTCAGGAAGGAAGCTGGAGGCAGGCAGAACTACTTTGATACTCAGTGGTATCCCCAGGGCCTGGAAAGTAGTAGTGCTCACAATAAGTGTACATATTTTAACTTTTTTTGGATACAAAGTATTGCTTTGTTGCCCAGGGTGGAGTGCAGTGGAACTGCAGCCTCAACCTCCCAAACTCAAGCAATCCTCTCTCCTCAGCCCCCTCGAGTAGCTGGGACTACAGGAGCACACCACCATGCTTGCTAAATTTTCTATTTTTTGTGGAAACGGGGTCTCACTATATTGCCTAGGCTGGTCTCCAACACCTGGGCTCAAGCTGTATTCCCACCTCTGCTTCCCAAAGTGCTGGGATTACAGGCATGAGCCTCTGCACCTGGCCTTAATTTTTTATCATGGAAAACTTCAAACATACTCAAAAGTAGAGTGAAGAGTATAAAGAATGTTACATACCCATCTCTCACCTTCAGCAGTGGTCAATTAGTGGCCATAGCTTCCATAGACACTGCTATCCACTTCTCATGGGATTCTTTTATTTTCTGAGACAGGGTCTTGCTCTAGAGTGAGATCCTGGAGTGCAGTGGCCTGATCTCCGCTCACCGCAACCTCTACCTTCTGGGTTTAAGTGACCCTCATGCCTCAGCCTCCCAAACAGCTTGAATTACAGGCACAGGACACCACGCCGGGCTAATTTTTGTGTTTTCAGTAAAGAAAATACAAAACAAGGTTTCCACCATGTTGGCCAAGCTGGTCCCAAACTCCTGACCTCAAGTGATCAAGCGGCCTTCGGTCTCCCAAAGTGCTGGTATTGCAGCCGTGAGCCATCTTCTCTAGCCTCCGCTGTATAATAATAATTATTATTTATTTTTATTTTTTTGAGATGGAGTCTCACTCTGTCGCCAGGCTGGAGTGCAGTGGCACAATCTCGGCTCACTGCAACCTCTGCCTCCCGGGTTCAAGCGATTTTCCTGTCTCAGCCTCCCGAGTAGCTGGGACAACAGGCATGTGCCACCATGCCCAGCTAATTTTGGTAGTTTTAGTAGAGACAGCATTTCACCAGGTTGGCCAGGATGGTCTTGATCTCCTGACTTTGTGATTCTCCTGCCTTGGCCTCCCACAGTGCTGGGATTACAGGCATGAGCCACCATGCCCTGCCTATTATTATTTTTATTTTTGAGACAGGAGACTTGCCCTGTCGCCCAGGCTGGAGTGCAGTGGCACGATCTCTGCTCACCGCAATCTCCGCCTTCTGGATTTAAGCCATTTTCCTGCCTCAGCCTCCAGAGTAGCTGGGACTACAGGTCTGTGTCATCACACCCAGCTAACTTTTATATTTTTAGTAGAGACAGGGTTTTGTCATTTTGGCCAGGCGGGTCTCGAACTCCCGACCTTAGGCGATCCTCCCCCTTGGCTTCCCAAAGCGCTGGGATTACAGGCGCGAGTCAAGGTGCCTGGCCCCACTGTATTAAAGCACATCAGAGACAACATATTATTGCCATAAATATTTCAGTGTGTTATCTCTAAAGAAACAGACTTTGTAAAACATAACCATAAAGCAGTCATCATACCTGCAGAGATTAATGATTCTTTCCAATGTCTAGCATTCAAATTTGTTTGAATTGGAGTTCAAATCAGGCCCATACATTCCATTTGTTTGATTTCAGTAAGTACTTGCTGAGTGGTGCGGGAGGACAGAAGCAAAATAGCTGGGAGGCAGAGAGTGGGGGTTGGTTGGGCCTTGGCGCTGGATGCTGGGAGGATTCTCGAGGGAAAGGCAGGCAGGTTGCAAAGCAGGGATGGGCGCGGCCCTGCAAAGACTGTGCCAAGCCTTCATGGGGACATTTCTCCCTGTCTCTGCCTGCAGTGGAGCTCACCTTGGATCCCGACACGGCCAACCCGCGCCTCATCCTCTCTCTGGATCTTAAGAGTGTGCGTCTCGGCGAGCGGGCCCAGGACCTGCCCAACCATCCCCGCCGCTTCGACACCAACACCCGTGTCCTGGCATCCTGCGGCTTTTCCTCGGGCCGGCATCACTGGGAGGTGGAGGTGGGCTCTAAGGACGGCTGGGCTTTCGGCGTGGCCCGGGAGAGCGTGCGCCGAAAGGGCCTCACGCCCTTCACCCCCGAGGAGGGCGTCTGGGCCCTGCAGCTCAATGGTGGCCAGTACTGGGCCGTGACCAGCCCCGAGAGGTCGCCCCTCAGCTGCGGGCACCTGTCGCGTGTGCGGGTGGCCCTGGACCTGGAGGTGGGAGCCGTGTCTTTCTACGCCATGGAGGACATGCGCCACCTCTACACCTTCCGTGTCAACTTCCAGGAGCGCGTGTTCCCGCTTTTCTCTGTCTGCTCCACGGGTACCTACTTGCGAATCTGGCCTTGAGGGGCACTGCTCCGAGCTCCTGTCTCCGAGCTGCTGGTGGGAAGGGATATCGCCTCCCCAGAGCTCCCTGGTCCATCTTGGGTCTGGCCTCCCTGCTCCAGACCCTGGTTGCTATAGACACAACCCTGAAGCAGGAGACTGAGACTACGGCCAACTGAGCAGGGGAAGAGAGACTTTGGACTCTTGGGGGTTCCTTTCCTGAGGTCACATATGGATTTGGCCAGAGCCCTCAGGAGGTGGAGGCTGGTGAGGTCAGGAGCCCAGCTCTCCAAAGGGCTTCTGCCCTGACTGGAAAGGCGTCTGACTCCCTAAAAAAATGTCAAAGCCAGTCCTGCTGTTTCCCATTGCCAGGGGACAGGTCTGGGCCCGCCTGCCAGGTTTGCTATCATGGCTGCTGCCTTCTGGATAGCTGCCAGCTCTACCTTGAGAGGTTGTGGGACCTCTGGATCCAGCTCGCCTGACAGGTCATCTACTCAGGGAGGAGCCCTGTGCTCCCAGCTCAGAGGACAGTCTAGGCCAGAACTGGAAGGAGGTCCTTAGACCGTCTGTGAGAGAGAAGCCCAGGACAACAGCCAATGGGTATCACAGCTCTCCAGCACTCTTAGCCAGAAGATAGAGAGTGATAGGTGCGTCCTGACCAAAGCAACAACCAGCATGTGCTCTCACAAACACCTGACCCCCCACTTTCCAGTGCCAAAGTATAAACATTTCTGGGATAAGGAGATCAAAGCTTCTGGGACTTTATTTTTTTCTTTCTTTTTAATTTTTTTTTTTTTTTTTTTTTGTGACAGGGTCTCACTCTGTCACCAGGCTGGAGTGCAGTGACAAGATCTCAGCTCACTGCAACCTTCCGTCTCACGGGTTCAAGTGATTCTCCTGCCTTAGCCTCCTGAGTAGCTGGGATTACAGGTGCCTGTCACCACGTCCAGATAATTTTTGTATTTTTAGTAGAGATGGGATTTCACCATGTTGGCCAAGATGGTCTTGATCTCTTGACCTCGTGATCTACCTTCCTCGGCCTCCCAAAATGCTGGGATTAAAGGCATGAACCACTGTGCCCAGCCTCTTTTTAACTGTTTTTTAGAGACTGGGTCTTCCTATGTTTCCCAGGCTGGTCTTGAACTCCTGGCCTCAAGTGATCTTCCAGTCTCCATCTTCCTAAGGGCTATGATTACAGGTGTGCACTGTACCTGAACTGTTTTTTGTTGTTTTTGCTTCTGGAACTCTGAAACACAAAACCCAAGATGGTACTTACTTTTTTTTTTTTTTTTTTTGAGATGGAGTGTGACTCTGTCATCCAGGCTGGAGTGCAATGGCACGATCTCCGCTGACTGCAACCTCCGCCTCCCAGGTTCAAATGATTCTCCTGCCTCAGCCTCCTGAGTAGCTGGGATTACAGGCACGTCCCACTGCGCCCAGCTAATTTTTTTAGTAGAGACAGGGTTTCAACATTTTGGCCAGCCTGGTGTCGAACTCCTGACCTTGTGATCCACGCGCCGCAGCCTCCCAAAGTGCTGTGATTACAGGTGTGAGCCACTGCGTCCGGCTGGTACTTACAATTTGAAAGATGCAGCCAGTTCTGAACAACGCACAAACAGCACAAACATGATCCTGACAGACTCTTTCAGGAAACTGCCAACAGCAGAGCACCCTGGTGTCAAGGCCTTCTCAGCCTAGCCCTGGAGGGGACTCCCCTGGCCAGCCTCAGCTCTTGTCTACTTGTTCTCCAGCTTCTGGATAGCTGGGCTTCTGGAAGGGTGGCAGTGGGCTGCTCCCTGCTCAGTGCTCCCCAGGGAAGGGGGTGGGGAGATGAAAATGAAGACTATGAGCTGTCTTTAGAGTTGGCTTGGCTCATTTTCTACTCCCTAGATCTGAGTGCAAGAGCAGAAGTATGAGCCAGGGTTTCTGCCAGAGTGAATAAGTGTGCACGTTTATATGTAGGAGGAGTGTGTGTTTATTTATATCTCACCTTTCTTGTATGTGTGTGTGTGTGTGTGTGTGTGTGTATTCTGGAGAGAGCATTTATGAGCATGGCATAAGGTTCAAGTATTGCAAACAGACCCAAGTCAGTTTGGTCATATTCTATTGTTGATTTGTTTTTAAATATTAACCGCCTTCTATTTAGGCAAGGGCCACAGGCTTCTTTCCTCACTACCTGGCTACCAGGCTGGATGAACAGAATACCAGGCTCAGAGCTAATTTTGTCCACACAGGTTATTTAGACAGATGTGCTGGCAAGCAGGGACAATGACAGTTGAACTGCCCTGTGTCATGGAGCTTCAGTGCTCTGTCTCTGAGATGCTTCAAGCTCACTTTGCACATAGGGTTCTCGAGGGGCAGGCATGACACTATCCCAAAGGCAGGCCCAGTTGACACAGCACCAGATAATCAGAATACTGTATCCTCTGGGCTGAAGACAAGACCAATTAAAAGTCCTGCCTACAGAAGCATTCCAGAGAGTGAATCCTATGTCCTGCTTATACATGCAGAGCCGCTCTAAAACCTGGTAGCCAGTTCCGGCATTTGAATACCTCTGATTTCCATAAGGAAAACCAATCTCTAATATTCATTTCCTAACTAAATCACCTATTGTTACCATTAAGCCCTAATGTTATCTGGCTTGTATGGCTTTTTGATTAAGTATCATAATTCCCTTTGTACCATCCAATAAATGTACTGAGCATCAGAATGAATTACAGGTCCCAGAAGGTGCAATGTCTGGTGGAGGTACCACATAAGGGTCAGGTCTAGGGACTGGGAGTAGCTCTCCACATGTATATTTTCAGTTTTTGTGTTCATGGGTGTAATCGTGTGTCTATCAGAGAGTGTGTGTTTGCAGAATAACTACATACATATCTATATATCTGAAGAAATGTAACAACAGTTACTGTAACAATTGCATGTAGAAGGGAAGAGATGTTCTTTCTTGGTCACCAGGGCAGTGCAGTAACTTGGATGTCAGGATGCTGGTGTGAGGACATGTGTATACATATCCCTCTCCTATACTCTGGGCGTCATAAACTCTAGAGATCTCTGGGTCTGTGAGAACAACTGGCCTAACTTGGGCACTTCTTATCCAACCATTAGTTCTAGCTGCTGAGCCATAAGCCCAGGCCTCTGCCATCAGAACCTCACGGGGCCCCTCAGCATCCAGACTCGGGGAAATCCAGGGGCCTGCCTCTGGCCTGGCCGCCCAGTGATCTAAGACAGCCGGCTGTGCAGGGAGCATAGGGCAGGCTGGGCCACCAGGCCAAGGTCCACTTCCTATACCCACCAATTTCTGTCCTTTGCCAGGCTGGGCCCTCATCCTTTTCCCTCTCCTCTACCCCGTGGCCCTTTAGGGGCCCTGACAGAACAGTTCCTCCAGTGTGCCCTAAAAGCTGCCTTTTCCAAATTCATTCAAATGTGAGGCAGGGACTAGCACCCACTTGCAACCCTACCTAGACTCTTCTGCTCCAGCGTCTCCAAACACCTAGCCGTCCTGATTCCCCGCTTCCCCACTCCCCCTCGGCTTCCACCTCCAGATGCCCCCACTGCTCCCCTACTACCAGCTCGCTCCAGGTCGCGCCCTAACTGCTCGGACCTGGGCTCCCTGCGTGCGTGCTCACATCCTTCCCTGACTTTTCCATAGCCCTGACCTCTGGCCCAGTATCCTCATGAACAACAAGCCACAAAGCGTGCTCTCCAATCCTCGCGCCCCTCCCCGCCTCTCCAGCTCCGACCAAGGCTGGGGACGCTTCTCACCGCGCTGAGATCCGCCGGGTCCGGACAGCGCCTGCTCGCACCCGCGCCCGCGCCCTAGCCCAACGCCAGCACTGTCTCAGAGGAGCTTTCTTCCGGGACTAACGCCGGGGGAGGAGCTTGGGTCCAGTCACCACGGAACTCAGTCGGGTTCAGCGGACTGCGGCTGCGCAACGCTGGCGATAGCGTCAACTGCTTGCGCGAGAAAGCCGACTTAGCGGTCGGCTCCATAGCTCAGGGGTTAGAGCACTGGTCTTGTAAACCAGGGGTCGCGAGTTCAATTCTCGCTGGGGCCTGCCTCTCCTTTTCTTTTTTTCCTTGAAAAATAGTGGAAGATGCGCGAACCTACTCCTGCCCTCCAGGGAGGCCAAACCGTGGCGGAGTCACTTTCTGTTTACCTCTAAGGTACCCGCCACAGAAGGCTGCTTCCCTACCATTTTCTTATCTCTTGAAGAGTCAGACCCACTGCGGGCTTCCTTTTTTATCACGGGTTCACTGAGCCCCGCGCGCCCTCTTTCCGCGACCCCGCTCACTTCCGTCTGCGCGCGCTCTCCGGGAGCTTCTTTCCCTTCCCCTCCGTTCTTCCCACTCCTGCCAGGGACTTGCCTTTGTGTCTCTGTCCCTCTCTCCAGGAGGAGACGATAGAACTACCGTGCCCCTTCCCGCCTGGCGTGTTTGCGGCGTCCTCCCAGCGCGCGCTGAGCGTGGGGTCTACAGCTCTGTGCTTGGCGGCTGCGCGCCTTCGGGTCCCCGTCGCCTCCGTACTGCAAGCTCTGACTTCTTTTTGTGGAGTTAACACAGAAAAGCGCAGACGGCCACATTCGTGACCCGGGCCTAACGGCGCTTCCTGTCAAGATTGGCTTTCAGCCTCTAGAAAAAACTTATTTTAAACAAAATATACAAGTAATGAATGCTGGCCTTCTGACTGATTTATTCCTGCTATTAACGGAAGTGTAGAAAGCGAGCCAGAGTCCTCAGTGAACAGTGGGGGCGCTGCCCAGGTGCAGGAAGGGCCCCCTGGGGGTCTCGGGACCGCTCCTGCCTCGGTCTTCCCCGCCAGGCGCACTCTGGAGGCCTGAGCACAGGTGGAGGCGGGGCCCGGTTCCGCCGCACACTCCCCTGTCGCAGGCGCCCTCTCTCCAGCGGAAGGGGACCTTGAAAAGCCCTGAGCGAGTCCCCGTCCCACGTGGGCCCGCGGCTTATACAGGCACCACTCCAGGGTAGCTCAGGGTTCGAAAACTTCCGTGTCTGGTGCACCAAAGAAGAGAAAACCGCTCGCAGCCACCTAGGTAGAGACTGGAGTTGTGACCGCGTTGACTGGGTGGGGAGAAGGAGCGAGCGGGGTCTGCGGCTCCGGCCAGTAGGACGCGCTTCCCTCTCTCACCCACGCCTGCTTCGGTCCAAAGAGCCGAGACTGTGGGTCAAGACCGGGATGGATTCGCTCCGCGCAGGTCAGGAGCCCACCAGCACATTCCGGCGCTCGCGCGCCTGGGGCTGCTCAGAAACTCGTCGATCCCGAAACACCTGCCCCACAGGAAGATCACCCTACTTTAGAAGTCAGGCCACGGGGACCAGTAGCGAGCTACCTGAGGGGTTAACTGTGGATACCCTCCGGACGAAAACCGTGGACTCCCAGGGTGCGTGCGTGTGCTTGCGTGTGGGGGTGTTGGCAGGCAGTCCCCACAATAATCGAACAAACAGGTGGGCGAACCTCAGGCCTCGCACTCTGGGGCTTTCAAAGTCTGGGCCTCACAGCCGCTCCCATACACTCACTGGTCACCTGGCCGAATTAGGTGGCATATAGGTGAGGTGCCGGGAGGTCTTCCACGCTCGCGCTCCTGTCCAGGTGGAGCTGGTGGAGGCGCGGGTGCGAGGCTTGGGACAAGGGAGAGCTCTCCCGGGTGGGGCGGACCCAAGGGCATTTCATCTGAAATGTTCAGCATGGGAAGAGCTGAAGGCCAGCCACAGCATTCAGGAGAGTCCAGCGTGGAGAGGCAGAGAGGAGGGGCGAGGGCAGCGGCGGGCGCAAGCAGAGCAAGATTGCCGAGACAGCGAATGGAAAAATGAGCATTGGTTCCTCGGAGTAGCTTAACCACCATCCCACGCT